GGGGGGGGGGGGGGGGGGGGGGAGGTACCTTTTGGGAAGTCCCTAGTCACATAAGCATATGTTAACTGGCTGCCTGTGATTGGGTGGGATTAAGTCTTATTTCTGCCTAGCATAAGCATTAACTAGAAATGACCCTAATTAAGTTTTGCTTATGTTCACAATGTAAGCTAGATTAAAGGTATTTTTAAGACCTAGCTGGCTTTGTTTGCTTAGAAATTTTTCAGGCCTGGTCTCCTTTTTAATTTTATTTTAACAGTATTAACTAATTTGGTACTCATCTATATATTATCCCCATTTTACAGCTGAGAATACTGAGACAGAGATGTTAAGAAATTTGCAATTGGTCATACAGCTAGGAAATGGTGAAGCCAAGATTCAGACCTAAGTAGTCTGACATTAGAAACCATGCTTTTGGGCCGGCCCGGTGGCCGAGGGTTCAGATCCCATGTGGAAACCGGTTCCCGCTCACTGGCTGAGCGCGGTGCGGACGCAACACTGAGGGTTGCGATCCCATTGCCGGTCCCTGGTACGGGCGCGACACCGAGGGTTGCAATCCCATTACTGGTCAGTAAAAAAAAGACAAAAAGGAAAAAAAAAAAAAAAAAAAGAAACCATGCTTTTAACCTCTTAAAGGTAGATATTACAGAATTACCTGTATGTTATCTAAACTCAAAAATAATGTCCAGAAGAATGATATAACTTTGCTGGCTAGAAACTAAGAGTATGCAGCAAATCTCTTAACTGCACTTTTATAAGGACTATTACCTTAAAGCTGCAAAGAGCTTTAAAAGTTTAGAAAGCCTAAAGTTAGACTTTTCTACAGCAGAGTTTTCAGATGCAGGGAAGGAGCTGTTACAGTCTAAGAGGAAATACAGTGATTGTCACTGAGTAATATCCAAGAAATATTGAGGGGCTACTAATGAGGGAAATCCTGCTTAGAACCATGTTATATGCCAAAGATCTGGATGAGCATATTGTCCAAATTTCCATGCTGAACTTTTTTTTTTTTTTTTGGTGGCTGGCCAGTACGGGGATCCAAACCCCTTGACTTTGGTGTTATAACACCAAGTTCTAACCAACTGTCAAACCTTCTTGAAATCAAATTTCTTCTATTCCCACATAGATTTAATAGCTAAAACACTGCCCAGCATTCATTAAGTGCTTCCTATATGCCAGCATTCTTCTAAGTCCTTTTTTCTTTTACTTATCTAATCTTAACAAAGACCTATGAAGTAGGTATTGTTATCATCAAAACCATTTTTAAAATTAGGAAATAAAGGCACAGAAAATTTTCTTATTCAGCATCCTAGCAGAGCCATGATTACAACTAGGTAGTGTGACTCCTGGCCTATACTCTTCACCACCACGCTATATAATGACTGTGTAAATGTTTATCTAAATTCCAGTTATTTTTAGAGCACCTAAACAGGCAAAAGGCTCATATAAACAGAATCTCTTCCTGCCATATTATACAATGAAAATTAATAATCATAATAATCACTATGGAATCAGAAAGAATCTTACATGCTCTCTGAGTGAGCAAACATTCATTATATTATCATTGTAAATTTTGCAGTGGAGAGCTGTGTATATCAATGTGGAAGCATATTTAAGTTGAGGATACATTTTCAAAAATTATTGCTGCTACTTTTTACTTTGAAATTTCATATTACATTTGGGAGAAAAGAAGGTTCTTTGTGTTTATTGAAAGGAACATTAGGTTAAATGTTGAGAAATATAATTGTGCATTTATAATTAATTTTAATTAAATACAAGAATAGCTAAAAACAAAAAGATTGACAATACCATGTGTTCACAAGGATGTGGAGCAACTGAAAGTTTCTGGTGGGAGTGGAAATTGGTTCAAGCACTTTCAAAAAATATTTGACAGTATCTATTAAAACTAAACATGAGTGGTGAAAATATTCTATCTTGATCTGGGTAGTAGTTCCACTGCTGTGTACATATGTTAAAAACTCATCAAATTATACATTTATGATTTGTGAAGTATTTACTATATGTACACTACACGTCAATTTTTAAAAAGAATTCTAAAGTAAACATAGAAAAAATAAAATATCTGAATTCTATTGCCCAGCCATTTGAAAAAATGTGATATTATTTGTCCGTTACTGACATATTGTCCTGATATGAATGGTTTTTGCCAGAGTATTTATACACAACATCCCAAATACATTTATGCTTGACAAATACATCTATACTTAGGTAAACACTCTGCCAGTCTGATCAATTTGTTGCCTCTCCGCTCCAATTCACCCTTCATATTCACTCAGTAACAATGGATAGAACTTTCTTAATCATCTCCACAAAGAGCACAATGATAAATTTTCTCAGTAGAGAGCGCTACAGAGACATTACAGGAGGGAAGGTGCTCTCCTGGTCTATCGATGTTTCCTGCTGCTGCGCACTGGGTCAACAAACTTGCAGCCTCTGCCTGGCCTGGTGACAACTTGCTTTAAAGGCCTCCTGCTCATGCTGGTGCCCTGAGCCACCACTCACTTTGCTGTGAGCACTCCCACCCCTGACTTCCTCCTGCTGCAGACCTGGCATATATTTATATCAATTTTACTTGAGATACAAATATGACCCAGCCAAACTGCAGGAAAAATAAATAAATAAAAAAGTGTTATGAAGAAAATAAAAGATAAAATATGAAGTGCAAATTTACCAGGCAAAATAAGTAAGAAAGCTGTTCTCTTATAGGTGAGGCAGAAGAGAATTAGAAAAATTATCAAGTTGATTTTCCTAGTCAGCCCTAAAGCAAAACATTCCAGTTATTTTTAGAGCACCTAAACAGGCAAAAGGCTCATATAAACAGAATCTCTTCCTGCCATATTATACAATGAAAATTAATAATCATAATAATCACTATGGAATCAGAAAGAATCTTACATGCTCTCTGAGTGAGCAAACATTCATTATATTATCATTGTAAATTTTGCAGTGGAGAGCTGTGTATATCAATGTGGAAGCATATTTAAGTTGAGGATACATTTTCAAAAATTATTGCTGCTACTTTTTACTTTGAAATTTCATATTACATTTGCTTTACTTAGTAATACTCAGAATTGAATGATTTTTTTTAAGTATTTTATGATAGGAATTTTATGAAAATAAAATAATTTTAAGAAAACCAGGCTATCATTTTACTTGTTCTAGAAAAACCTTCATAACAGAGAGAAATAAACCAAACATTCATGCATATCCAATGTAAATTATTTTCAAATATTCAGCTAAATAACCCATCAATCAGTAAGTAATTGAGTCTAACAGATATCTAACACTGTCAGGTGTTACTGAACTGAAAGGAAATCGTCATCCACTGTGCAGTCTGGCCAATAAGTCTGCACACTGAGATTTACAGTACGAAAGATTAGCTTTAACGTTGACAGGTGCCAGTCAAGGAGAACCAGGAAGCTAGTGCTATAAACACCCAGACTCCTTGATAACTTGAAGTCACAAGCATTGATAGAACAAAATCATGAGTAAGGGTCTTGGGAGTTGTATGGGGATCTTACTGGCTTATAGTTGAAGACAGCACAACTCTTTCTGCCATCTTGACAGCTAAGAGTTAAATGTGTCCCCCAAAACTTCATGTATTAGACACTTAATCTCCATTGTAACAGTGTTAAGAGGGTGGGAAACGCAATTATGGTATTTGAAAAGTAGGGCCTTTGAAAGATGATTAGATCTGAGTATTACCCTAGTGAATGGATTGATCCACTCATGGAGTATTGGGTTGATG